TAGCGCAGAGCAACTTCCCGGAGTCTTCACGGAGACTTCAGGGTTGTCTACCGCTGACGAAGCTTCTGTGAGAGAAGCGAAACGTCCTTTTTTGGTTTTTTTTTTTTTTTTTGTGTTTTTTGTTTTTTACCCACAGGTACAGATGACGACTGACAGAACCCTTTCTACGCTAGAAGCAAGTTGAACAGGTTGCGCGCAACACATTGGTTGGTTTTGATGATTCCTCCGATTACAGCTTTTGTGTTGCATTCTCTCTCAAGGATACAAAGGCCTGAATGTTCGTCCGATCTACCGTCTTTCTTGTTTGGAGAGTGAACAAATTACTCGAGGATCCGATTTCTGTATACCGTGATGATTTTCAAACAAAACAAAAAAATGTGTTGTTCCACCTCTGAACACACCCTCTGTAACTTGAACGCGAATAAACACTTGCAAGCAACACGATTCAGGCTTTGACGGATGAAGAAGAGAAAAGCAAATGTTGAAAACAGGAAACAGATCGAAATATATTCGCACAGGCAATCAAATTAGTGTGTGTGTGTGTGTGTGTGTATGTGTTTACCAGGCCTGAGTCTACTGGGATAGACTTCAGCTTCTGCAGGACCTTGAACAGGATGAGCATTAAAGAACATTGATGAATAACAGTGAATCTTTTTTTTTTTTTTTTGGAATGAAATCCAACTAAAGCTTCATGATAACAGGCTCAGTGGAGTATAAAGATCTTGCAAAGATCAAATAGAAGCATATGGAGCGGGCAGGAATTCCCAAAGTGGACTAAGACAAGACAGGTGGATGAGAACTAGAACTTTACAGGAGTTTGTTCAATTTGACCTACTTTTCTCGGTTTGTTTTCTTTTCTATACAGTACGTCCTAAATATTCCTCACATATGCGATCAATTTTCATGTAGCACCAGGAGCTGCTAAGGACAATCAGTCTGTTGACTCCAAGAGGACGCCACACTGATTTATCTCTCCATCTCATTCTGTGGGTCACACCGGAGCAGACGGCTCTATTTCTCCCCATTTCACTTGCCAAACTGCCGACCGTGCAGTCTCACAGTGTCAATGTCGTCGTTTTTAAAATGTAGGTTGTGTTTTCTCTGGCCCTCCGGTTGCAATTTCTTCTTTGTGAGGGCTCCACGTGCTTGAATGGAAGAACATTTGTGTCGCTAAAGAATGGTTTGAGCATGAGGTCACTTTTTTCTTTACTTACATTATGTTATCTCCGCTGTGGATGACATCGTCTTCCCGTGGAACAGATATTCACATCTGACTGACATTTGTCGAATGGAGCGCGTGCGTCGCATTTGGCGTGTTGTCATGACTCAATTGAAAATGCATTGTCCCATTGTGGCATTCAAGTGAAGCGTGACTGATTGTCATGAGGACATGGCGACACGCTGCTGTTAGCTGTCTGTTGTGTCATATCGTTTCAAATAAATGCTACCATTGTTCACTTTCTGAAAAAGATGTTGATGCATCCATGCACGGCAGTGGTTAACCGGTGCCCAGCTACCAGGACCAGTATTGTTCTTGTTGAGCCTTGATGAAAGCTGCTACTTGTAAATACTTGTTTTTTTGTTGTTGGGTTCAATTCTTGGTCCAAAGCAATTTAAAACAATGAAAGTGAGGTTTAGTTTCAACTTCAATGAGTCATGCTGTGATGCGCCGCCAAATATCAATGACTCAAACTCAGTGTCTCCTAAAATAATCCTCTTCCGCAGAACCAGATGTGGTCAGCGGAGTGACTCAGAGTGTTATCATAATTCAATCAAATGTCAAGGATTAACCAATCGTTTCTGCTCCGTTCCACAACAGATTACAGGACCGGGCCGTGTTTCACGCAGGTGAACAACCAGTTGTGTCAGGGCCAGCTCAGTGGAATCGTGTGCACCAAGACGCTATGCTGCGCCACCATTGGCCGAGCGTGGGGACACCCCTGCGAGCAGTGCCCCGCTCAGCCGCACCCATGCAGACGCGGTTTCATCCCCAACATCCGCACCGGAGCTTGCCAAGGTCAGATGTTCCTCACCACCCCAAACATTAATCATTATGTGTCGTCACCTCCGCTGAACACCCGGCAACATCTCCAGGCCAATGTCAACAAGTCGGAGACCTGTTTACATGTACACAGGATGCTTATATCCTGAGAAAATGTATGTCGACATATGTTATTTATCAGTAGTGTCAGTATCGGCGTCACCGTTATTATAACTTAGCTTTCTTTCAACATTTACATTTCGACATTTACATTCAGACATTTTAGCCCGAAGGAGTCTAACTGTGATTTGTATGACTTCGGTTCAGTGTCATTTGACTGTAGAGGTTCTACTCTACTTAGGCTTAAGCTCGAAAACTCGTGATATGAAACGAATTAACCACAAAGACAAATAAAAAAAAAAATGCTTTCATCATAGGGGGATTAACGTTTTGGAAAAGCCCAGCCCACCCAGAGTTGTATGCACTGTAGGTTAAACAGATTCTTGTTTATTGCACCTTATACATATGCTGAAGTCACCAAATCACGCGAGAGCCTTGAGTGACATCTCGCTGGAACCACTACAAAGTGCACGTGACCATGAATCCAAATGCAAGAAGTGCACAGCAGACGGCATCCAGGGTGTTGTCGGCTACATACTGGCTGTGTCTGGCACAGAAGAGCAGACAGAGTTGTGTTCAAATGGAGCAGAGGTTGAATGCGTTGAGTAGACTGAAAAAAAGCCTCTTAAATAGTCTCTCCACTGCACGTGCTCGAGAGTCTTTGGATTCTGAAGAGCGTCAAGGGGGAAATAAATCCACTTTACGAAAATGTGTATGCACACTCATTTCCCAAAGAGCGCGCCTCCTGACATATCAGCAATACCGGGAAAAGTGACTCACTGTGAATTCTGGGAAAACTGTACATTTAATAAAAACGTTTCCTGTTCAAAAGAGCTCATCTGCTGGAAGTTATTCATTTTGGTAACACTTCAATTGTAAAATCTTTTAATAAACCACAACAATCTGACAAAATGGCCTCACGAAACGCTTTCTGGAAATGTGTTTGCCAGGCTGCATTACAGAGACTCAGCTTTGGAAGTTTTAGCCTCGTTTTGATTAGTTTCTGTCTCTTTTGTCGCTAGATGTGGATGAGTGTCAAGCTGTACCGGGTCTTTGCGCTGGAGGTAACTGCATCAACACTGTGGGATCTTATGAGTGCAAATGTCCCGCCGGACACCGTCAGAGTGAAAAGAGCCACAAATGCGAAGGTGAGTCAGAGGATCAAATTTTACAGTTGGGAGTGTTTTTTTTTTTACGGTACGTGATGCTAGAGGACCCTAAAAGCAGGCAGGCACAAGAAGCAGGGTGGACTAAACAAAACATATTAACACTTACAAAAACAAAATCAAAACCACAAACAAAGTCCTGGAAACCGAAGCAGCAAACAAACAAAAACTCTGTGACAGAAACCAAACAACATGACAGGAACACACAACGATGTGACCAAAACTGACAGAACCCAGGAAACTAAATACAAGCCAACTGACGAGACAACAAGGAACACCTGGACAAGACACAAAGGGTTGAGCAAGCTGATTGGTTGACACAAGGGACCCGGATGACCAGAACAGGTGGCTACAAAACCAAACGAGGAAGACAAAAGCACACGAGGAAACAAAACCACAACGTAATCCAAACAAACAGGATCATGAGAGTTTTCTAATATGTCTTTAGATAGCAAATTGGAAATGGTCCACTGGACTCATCAAAATATTAATGATAATATGAGAGCCCGCCTCCGGCCTCCCTGTGTGGAGTTTGCATGTTCTCCCCGTGCCCGGGTGGGTTTTCTCCGGGTACTCCAGTTTCCTCCCGTATTCCAAAAACATGCATGGCAGGATGAGTGAACACTCTAAATTGTGCGTAGATGCGAGTGTGAGCGCGGATGGTTGTTCGTCTCTGTGTGCCCTGCGATTGGCTGGCAACCGGTTCAGGGTGTGCCCCGCCTACTGCCCGAAGACATCTGGGATAGGCTCCAGCACCCGCCGCGACCCTAGCGAGGACAAAGCGGATCGGAAAATGGATGGGATGGACGGATAATATGAGAGAGTTTGTTTTTTTTTTGTTTTGTTTTTTTTATTAAAATGTACTCTAAAGAGTGGTTAGCACATACAGTTCACACCTCTGAGGTTGGCAGTTCGAATCCAAGCTCCAGCCTTCCTGTATGGAGTTGACGTATTTTCCTCATAGATAGAGAGATACATTAGATAGATAGATGTAAGGATCTTTATGGTCCGAGTCGAAACAATCACTATGGGTCCTTTCGGGTCAGGTCGCCATGTTTCTGCCTTTCTGCCTTCCTTAGCACAAGTTGAGGGCCCGACTGAGGTTTTGAGCCAATCTCGATAAAGTGCAGTTAAGATGTAAGATATGGGTGTCTGACTGTTTTTGGCACCTGGTTTTTATGGTCTGCTTTTACTTGAATTGAGTCTGCGCTTTACTGTTCTTTTTTTTTTTTTTTTTTTTAATCCGTCCTTCTATTTTCCCCTTCGTAAGTGCAGTCATTTGGCTGACTACCAGCTGTTGCTTTTGAACAAAGGAACACTTTGGACATGTTTAAGTTACACACTCCCATCACTCTCGGCTTCCTGGCTGCCTTCCTATTTGGATTAGATGAATCGATGCATAATGGCGAAATTTTACAAAGGTTTTCGATTACATACCTCATTCACATGCGCGCTGCACCTACAGGAAGATGGAGGTGGTCATCACTTTGTGGTTAATCGTTTCCACCCTTATACATTCTAAAATAATCCGGGTTTCTTTTTTTTTTTAATTTATGAGATCAGACCAGAGGTGGGAAAGGCAACCAAAACGTTTACTCAAGTAAGGGTACTATTACTTTAGAATGGAGATTAACTATAAATTATATATAGGTTTCAGCCATATTTCACATCAATGAGTCAATTTGAAAACTTTGCTTCTATGTGGGTTCGTGGAAAATACCTGAGTAAAAGTAGCATTTAGACTCAAAAGTAAATGTGACATTAAAACTACTCCGGCAAGGACATCCACCCCACTTGCTTTGTACACGCAGCCATGCGGGACCAGAAAAAAAAAGAAGCCTTATCTCAAATGTTCTCACAAATTTGGAAGCATCTAATTGTCCCAAACTTCTCAGTGTGACGAATGACGATTTTGGTTGAACCCAGGAGTCTGGTTCATGCCTCGGTGGCTTAATTAATTCAAAGGTTTGCCTCAGCACTTTTCTCCATGTAGCATGGCTTACAGGAAATAGTGAAAACACATACAGACGTAAGTCATATGAACCACACGGCCATGCAAGCTGTAATTATACCCCACAGCGGTGCAGTAATTGCACAGGCATATAAATAAGTGGCACACATCACAACAATCTGATACAGCATCAAATTTCAGTTTGGGTTTCCCCGCATGAAGCAACAAGAACTCTTCAAGCCAGGCCCTGAGTGAATAATAGTCATTTAATATGGTGTCATAAAGCATACCGAACATAGGTGGGCCCCCTCAGCACTGGTGCTTTGGTACTCTCGGAGGTCATTGCCATTTCATTTGGGGTTTATGGAGTTCTTCTCTCTTATATGGAACGTTAATTGAATTAGCGGCTGTATATTGGAAGAGCCTTGTGTTTGCAGCTCTAATCCCATTTGAAGAATAACAACATAATTGCTTGCATGACATCATGCACCGATTGTGGACTTGAATAAGAGAGTGATTATTTGGTTGTGCTTAACAATATTTTATTATGTGGAAATGTGGTGTGGAATGAGTAGGTTTGTCCCCATCCATCCCTTTGGTCTCATGACATTATTTCTTTCACACACACACAGACACACAAAGAAAGAAATTCCACAACCAACAAGAGTCCAGTTGCCAAGATTTAACCATTGTGGATTTGCATGACTGAGAATCCATCCATTTTCTACCGCTTATCCGGGGTCAGGTTGCGGGGGCAACGGCTTCAACAGGGAAGCCGAGACTTCCCTCTCCCCAGCCGCTTTTTCCAGCTCTTCCGGGGGATCCCAAGGTGTTCCCAGGCCAGCTGGGAGACATAGCCTCTCCAGCGTGTCCTGGGTCCTCCCCGGGGCCTCCTGCCGGTGGGACATCCCCGGAACACCTCACCAGGGAGGCGTCCAGGAGGCATCCTAATCAGATGCCCGAGCCACCTCGTCTGGTGCCTCTCGATGTGGAGGAGAAGCGGCTCAACTCTGAGCCCCTCCGGGATGCCCGAGCTTCTCACCTTATGTCGAAGGGAGAGCCCAGACACCCTGCGGAGAAAACTCATTTTTGGCTTTTGGCTCAGCACCTTCTTCACCACGACAGAGCGATACAAAGTCCGCATCACAGCAGACGCTGCACCGATCCGCCTGTCGAGCTCTCGCTCCCTCCTGCCCTCACTCTTGAACAAGACCCCAAAATAATTAAACTCCTCCACTTGGGGCAAGATTTCCCTCCGACCCGGAGAACTTACACACATATAAAGAAAAAAAAGACAGCACACTGGTATTTTTAAATTTCAGTTGGAACAGTAAGTTAAAGTTGCTACTATGCAATTATGCTACTGGGCTAATGATCCAAATGTGTTCCAGATGTTGACGAGTGCAGCACCCTACCCGGCGTGTGCGATGGCGGCGAGTGCACCAACACGGCCGGGAGTTACGTATGCACCTGCCCGCGAGGTTACATCTCCAGCACAGATGGCTCAAGATGCGTGGGTGAGTGTCACCGAATGTCCGCACAACATTCCGACGCTCTTCCCGTTCGTTCGGCCATGACGTGAGTCAGACCGGCCTGCAAACAAACACACTTTTGTGTACTCTATTGCCTTCCGCAGCATTAATTTGGTGAGACACAGATACACAGCATACCTCAATGACGCGCCCCATGAAACATTACCAGGTGTTAATGTAGTCTTCAAGTCAATCACAGCAAACAAACCAGGTGTTCGCTTGGAACATTACGTTCAGGCTGGAAAAAGCATCATGTGTCTTATGTAATGCGAAACCTGTTCACCATTAACTAAAACATTTTCTCGTGTTTGTTTGTTTTTGAATTAAGAGCAGCCTTTTGCGGGGTTTTTTTTTTTGGTCGATTTTGAACTTGCCATTACATCAACAGAGCTCACGATGGGCACAATTTAAGCACAGCACTGCGTGCTTCAGTTTCCACGCGATATGTTACTAAATTTTCTTAATAACATGTTCTTTTGATAAAAAAAAAACACATTGTCAATGCATGAGCTTGATGTCATGTGGTCTTCTCCAAACAATCAGATTTATGCCATTTTAAGCGAAAACATGTCGGAGAGGGATGGGAATCAAAAACACTTTGGAATAACACTCATTTTGACTGGAACCAGAGACGTATGAATATGAATGATAAACATTGGCCCGATTATACATGTAAGAGTCTTTTTAAGAATGCTTTGGACAAGATGAAGTTAGACAGCTGCAGTCTTTTACTTCCATGCAGCATCACTCACTATAGTCGGACCGTATCTCTTGTCATCAGCCAGGCCTGAGGTCAACCCCCCCCCACCGGCCCCCTATGCGTTGTCATGCCCAAACAACAGCGAGCTTTCTCCACCTCAGTTCAACAGTCAAGTATTGAGTATTCCCGCTAATTGGGAGCGTCGGCCATGAAAAAAAAGCCACAGAGATGTCCGCTTGAGTTTGGTCACAAGGTGCCAATTGAGTCAGCCAACCTTGACTTGAACCTGCACTTTCTTAAGAAAAATGTGGATGAAAATAATTTAAAATGGCTCTTGAAGAGAGACTGTTTTTTTTTAAATGTCGTCCAGGGGAAAAGCATAATGGAAGTTTAGTCTCCATTTTATGTTCTATTTCTCCAAAACTGATGGCCAGGCATATGATTTGGTTACATTTTGTTTTCCATCTGTCCTCTGAGGTCCATCCTAACCTCGCTTCTTTGAAATGAGGCTTCGGCCCTCTGAAGGGAAATAAGAAAAAAAGACAGCAAAAACAAATTAAACGGGTGCCAGACACAACCCCCCCTGTTCATCCTTCCTCGGCCTTTGTCCCACTTTGAATCGGACCAGACAAGATGCGAAGGAGACAGATAAAGGAAACCAGACCCGCCAGCGTATCCGATTGATATCATCTTGGAATATTCCCTAGCCTGTAATCTCAGGTCCCACCTCCAAATTGGAATAAATTCAACGCATGCTTGAATGGAGAGAAACGTGGCCTGAACAATTCTGAGTTGCTACCCATTAGACTGAAACAAGACACTAAAACTCATTTTTGGGGAAGCGGGCAAAAAAATCACTGAACGTACTTCATATAATGCTGATTTGTTGCTTACGTGACCTTGTTAAAATAAATTTCCTGCAGAAACATTTTAGACCAGTTCCACAAGTGTCATTCTCAAAACAATCCTCATTCAAATGGAGCTGCAATCACGACCAAAAATGTCTCATTTGCATGAGAGCACAACACATCAACTAGAAATTTGAATTGGCTCTAAATCTATGGTACACTTGGTAGCCATCTTGAGCGACACAAACATAGCAGCCTCTGCCGTTCGTGAATTAATTTCAGTCTTTCGCATATGTGCATTTTCTTTTTTTTAAAAAAAGTTGTTTTTCAGAGTTGAGACATCAATAACATCATTTTTTTTTAAAACATAAACTTGGTGAAGCATCGTCAAAAATGTGTCCCTGTACAGTGGGAGCTAAAAATATATGAACCCTTTGGAATTTCTTACATGTCTGCATAAATTGATTATAAAATGTAGTCTGATCTTTATCTAAATCACACGAAAAAAAAACAAAAAACTATCTGCTTCAAAGAATGATCCATTTTCATATTTCACAGGGCAGGGAAGAAAAAGTAAGTGAACCCTTGGATTTAGTTAATAACTGGTTGCTCCTCCTTTGGCAGCAATAACCTCAACCAGCGTTTCCTGCAGATGCAGATCAGACGTGCACAAACATCAGGATGAATTTTGGACCATTCCTCTTCACAAAATTATTGCAGGATTCCTTGGATGTCTGGTGGAAATAGCTCTTTTGGGCTCATGCCTGTTTATATTTAATCCAGATTAGTGATGGCGGTCCATGGGAAAATTATGCTTCAATGGACAAACGTCGGCTAGCAAAAGGCATTATAGGGATTTTGGTCATGTAGAGTCTACTTTGTAGATTGCTTCTTCTGCTAGGAAGTAAAAAAAAAAAATCATTTCATCAATTAGAGTTTGGTCCAGTGTGAAATGGGTAGCAGTGGTGGCGCTACAACAGAAGCAATATACATGAATAGTAAAAAAAAAAAAAAAAAAAAAAAAATCACATGGTAAAATAATTCTTTATTTTTCCTGGCATGTATGCCATTTTTTTCCCTCAAATGAGAAGGCCAATTTAACAATTGATGGCTGCGGTGAGGCGGCAAGGTGACTCGGTCCACGCTGCATGTTTCGCATGGATGCCGTGATAGAAGAGGCTAGTCGGGGCTGGTGGGAGGGCGTGACAGTAATCAGAGCCTAATGCCCTGTCACATGGTGGAAGCCGGGGGAAAAAGATCCGTCCAGTCGGTTAGGCTTTATAAACACCTCTCTTCAAATGAAAGCACATGCTGGCGTCGTGGCGCAACGTAAACCTCCGTCTGGTTCCAATTAAAAGTCTTCGTCATCCTCATCAACAAATCCCATCGAAGTCCTCCAGCTCGCGCGGTCCTGTGAGATGTTAACAGGTTTTAACTCACATGTCGACTTTGTACACATCGTGAAAGCAAATGGGAATGCATATCTGTATCAGATGCTCGTGAGCGTGTGTGGAATTCAAACATTCCCACACACTGCTGAGCCCCACTAATGTTCTGATCTAATTGGCAAGAATTGCTCCACATGGAACTGATTAATTCCAGACTGCTGGCTCATTAGTGAGATAATCGACATGTGGGCCCGCGAACATGCCCCCCCCGCCTCCCCCTCTTTCAATAATGCTTAACTTTTTCTTCTTCCCCTTTTATAGAGAAATTTCCAAGAGATACTGACAATGCCCTTCCCCACTCGCTTTCTTCATTTACACATGCTCGTTGAACTCTTAGCCCACTGACCTCAACCTGTCCAATTGTTACAAATAAGAGCCCATCTCCTTTTTTTTCCCCGAGGCCCCTTAGAGGCTGGCAGTTAGTCGAGACCCCAGGCAACCTTTCCCTACTGCCGACTCATAAAAGAACTTCCTTCCCACCCACCGTGGAGGGCGCAGGGCATCCGTCTGCCTTGGTGCTTCTGTTTTCAGAGCAGCTATTACCAGGAAACTTTGCAATGTGTCATACAGTGGCATGGCTGGAAAAATACTCGCGTTATTAGCTGAGGTTTAACACAGTGCCCTTTTGTAATTGAAGTGTGCAATCTGTTGAATCTCTGACCACACCCGCTGTCACTGTTGTTTTTTTTTTTTTGTTTTTTTCACTCCAGACATCTTGGACACCAGTCTTTCTGATAAACACACCTGTTTGAAAGTACAAGCTGTGTCTAAAATTTAATGGTACAAAACTCAAAAGAAATGATGGATAACTTCTTTTAAAATTTAAAAGAAGTTATCCATCATTTCTTCCACACACACACACACACACACACACACACACACACACACACACACACACTCAAACAGCGTGCGTGTGTGATGATACAGCAGGTCTCTAATTGTCTATATGTCCAATCTTATCACAGACCAGCGTGCGGGCACGTGTTTCTCTGCACTGGCTAACGGTAGATGTGCTGCTGAGCTGACTGGCCAGTACACCAAAATGCAATGTTGCTGCGACACTGGCCGCTGTTGGGCTTTGGGACAGATTCCGGAGATGTGCCCTGTGAGGGGGTCTGGTGAGTGTAAACACACATAAGTACTCATGTTTACATCCTTTACATTCCACCAAAAATGGAAAGTTTACACAACTGATTGAAATGGTTTAGAAACCAAAACTAAAATGACACTCACTAGAGTGCAGACCTCCACTAAGATCGCCAACACTGGTGGGGTTTTCACAATGATAAATGATGCGTGAAACAGTTCTCCAAGAAAACAAAGTTGTGCTTGTTTGTTCTTCGAACAACCCCTGTGCATCGTGGAAATTGTAGTTCTTGATACAGGAAAGAAATGCAAAGGGAAAACATCCCCCTCTTGCCTGCGGCTTTTTGCCTGGCGCAGGTAATAATCTAGCACAACAAACCCACACACATGAGGCAAAAAAAAGCATGTTCATGAATTCAGGCTGATGTCTCTCATCTCAAAATATCTTTGTGTGAGGGCTTCATCATTTTGTGTATTACTGTGTATGTGAGAGCTGAGACTATTAAAAAAAAAAATTATGAACCACTTGTGAGCTTCCAGTATTTACCTTCTCCCTCCTTTATTTCATAGACGAGTTCCGTCGTTTATGTATCGTGGGCGTTCCTCAGGGACATGGCCTCCCTAACGGGTACCCCAACGGATACTTCCCTAGCAACAATGGCTACGGACCCAAGTTTCCCAGTATTCCCAATGGGAGCGGCGGCAATGGCGGAGGCACTTTCGGAGGCAACGGCGGAAGCTTCGGGGGAAATGGTGGGAGTTTCGGAGGGAACGGAGGCAGCTTTGGCGGCAATGGGGGAAGCTTTGGAGGGAACGGAGGGGGACTGATGACCCATCACCAAATAGGTGAGTTAGACTCGTCACTAGTCAATCGCAAGTTGAATTTGAATGGGACACTATTAAGGACTTGATCCGATTCCAGAATTGGAGGAGAATTTAGGCACGGACATTTCTGAAAAATGGACCATATATTATTTATGTTGTCGAGAAAAACAGGTTTTAAGCTACCATATAATTTAATTCATCCAACTGAACTTGCTGTTTTTGGCGCAACCTGGTTATAGATACTCAGGCACTTTAATTAAAAACCAAAATTGGAAAATATGGCTAGATTTTTTTTTTTTAACAATTAAGTAAAGACATTGATATTTTTATTTCATTTGTTTGCTAATTACCTCGATTACAATCACAAAGTTGAAAGTTATCGGTTCGCAATGCTAGCTATGTTAGCTACGAAACTAACTGGTCAAGAACTCATGTCGAGAGCAATTTTGATACATGTATTAATGTCTCTTTGTGATATATGAGTAACATTGAGTGGCGAGACACTCCAATACAGCCAAAACATTGGCAAAATATAAACATGATGAAATATGAAATTCCCGTAGATCTTATATGGTCACAGCAAATATCATGATGAAAACATTTCTGATGAGTCATGTCGCTCACTTTTTTTGCCCTCTTACTCTAAAAAACGTTTGTAACGGGGTGTTATGTATGTTGGGGCAACTTAAGAGCACATTTACTACGACTTACGTCTGACCCATGTACTTCTCAGCTCTTAATGAAATGTTTTGGTTGGGTTTCTTTTCCTTATTCTGTTTTGTTTCTGGTCAGGCACCGTCACTGTGAATGACACTATTGACATCTGCAAGCACTTCACCAATTTGTGTCTGAATGGACGCTGTATTCCCACACCCACAAGCTATCGCTGTGAGTGCAACATGGGCTACAAGCAGGATGTACGTGGGGAATGCATTGGTAAGTGATATGCCCACACCGCATCATTTATCCCCCCTTTGCCCCCTCCCTTGCATAGTACCACGGCAATGTACTGCCACCTTCTGTCAGTTACTGTAACTTAACTAACATGAATTCCGTGACACCTGCAGCAATCAGTTATTTAGTTTGCTTTATCTTTTCATTGTAGATGTTGATGAATGTGTGAGTAATCCATGCATCAATGGCGACTGCGTCAACACGCCGGGGTCATATCACTGCAAGTGTCATGATGGATACCAGGGAACACCCACCAAGCAAGCTTGTATTGGTATGTCAGGTGGAAAAAAAATACATCTGAATTAAACTTTAAATACGTGTTAATATTATTATTTCTTCGGTGTAGATATTGACGAGTGCATTGTCAATGGGGTGATGTGTCGCAATGGACGCTGTGTCAACACCGAGGGAAGCTTCCAGTGTATCTGCAATGCTGGCTTTGAACTCACACCTGATGGCAAGAACTGCATTGGTAAGGAGATCGACTGCTTATATGAAATTAGTTTGTGACATATCAGGTTGGAGAGCAGGAAGGTCAGAATGGATACAGTCTGCATGTGGATATTTCAAGCCTATTAACAATGTCGTATGTTTATGCGACATGTCCAAATTTAATGTCCCCTTAATTAAATTATTATTACTATTATTACCAATATTGTTATTATTATTATTATGATTTGTCTTTTTAACTTGCTTTGTGGTCTCCTCCCCTCTCCAGATCACGACGAATGCGCCACCACCAACATGTGTCTGAATGGCATGTGCATCAATGAGGACGGCAGCTTCAAGTGCATCTGCAAGCCCGGCTTTGCCCTAGCACCAAATGGACGCTACTGCACCGGTATGTTGATGTATTTTGAGATCAGAACAAGTTGAGTCTTGAAATAGATGATGAGACTCAGATTGATACATTCCACTCCAATTAGAGACATAAACCATGAAAATTGTGATTGACGTTCCCTCTCTCCAATAGACATCGATGAGTGTCTGACGCCTGGAATTTGCATGAATGGCCGCTGCATCAACTCGGAGGGCTCCTTCCGCTGTGAGTGCCCACCAGGCCTGGCTATCGATGTAGATGGGAGAGTGTGCGTGGACACGCACATGAGGACCACCTGTTACGGAGCCATAAAGATGGGCACGTGCTCACGGCCCTTCCCAGGAGCGGTGACTAAATCCGAGTGCTGTTGTGCCAATCCCGAACATGGATTTGGAGAACCTTGCCACCCATGTCCCTCTCGAAACTCAGGTAGAAATCTAAATGGGATTCCGCGTTTCTGGAATGGCGAAACACGGTGTCAATTTCAACTCTATATGTGATCTTTCAGCTGAGTTTCAGGCTGTGTGCAGCAGTGGTATCGGCATCACGGCTGATGGTCGAGGTCAGTATGACGGTCGTCAGTTTTGCGAAAAAAAAACCCACTTCCCGCTTCAGTCACCGTAAAACTATTTTTATCAACTTGTTCCCAGACATCAATGAGTGCGCCCTGGACCCGGATATTTGTCAGAACGGCATTTGTGAGAATCTGAGAGGAAGCTACCGCTGCATCTGTAACATCGGCTATGAGTCAGACACCAGCGGCAAAAATTGCGTTGGTGAGGTTTTTTTGTTTGTTTTTTTAAATACTGCTTATCATTACGTGTCAAAGTGATACGTTAGACCACCAACTGTGCTGGGGTGTGTGCATTTTCAAATGAGATATAAATCTTAGTTTTGCTCAAATGTTTCATACATTTGCAATGTTCCATACATAGATTTGTAGCGTAGTAGTATATCAAATCAAGCTTTTTTACAGGGGTGTCAGTAGAAATATTTAGATACACCGACTGGATGCTTCATTAGGTACACTGGAACTGTGTGTGTGTGTGTGTGTGTGTGTGTGTGCGTGTGTGCGTGCGTGCTTGTGTGTGTGTATTTTCTTTTAATTACTCTTACTCTCTTTTTCAGACATCAATGAGTGTCTGGTCAACCGCCAGCTTTGTGACAATGGCCTGTGCAGAAACACTCCTGGCTCGTATACATGTTCCTGCCCAAAAGGTTTTGTCTTCAAGCCAGACTCAGAGACATGTGAAGGTGAACACACGCACACACACCAACATGCGCGCACGCCAACAAACACATGCATCCTAGAGTCCATCTGTTTTTGATTGAGGTCATAACAATGTGACCTAGTTTCCACTATAAATATGTCGATCTACATCGCTGACCTCAGGTGTGCGTCATTGTGTTATGTGTTCCAGATATCAACGAATGCGAGTCCAGTCCATGCATCAATGGGGTCTGTCGCAACGTGATCGGGTCCTTCAACTGTGAGTGCACCCATGGGAGCAAGCTGGACTCTACAAACACCATCTGTGTGGGTAAGGCATCCTTACCGCCAAGTGGTTCTACACGTTAACTACGGGTTGGCAAATTTTTGTGCCCTAGGGATGTATTTTATTTTCAAAATGGACTGATGGACAAACAAAGTTAAAATGTTTATGGAAAAAAAAAAGATAGCTTCAATACGTTTATATCAAGTTATAATTGTACTATTTAAAAGTATTATTTAGAATTAATTACTTGCTGATATAAATGAATAAAACAATTGTGAATACATTACAAAGACATTTTAAAGAAAAAAAACTTGATAATGTGAATGCTTGGTCAGGGATTAAAGAACATAGCTGGCAGTATGTGTTCTGTAGGTCATACTTTGCCCACCCCTTCTCTCAACACTTAACTCTCATGGCTTTTCAACCATGTACAATGAAATATTTCAAGTTCTACCCATGTGAGGCTCGCCTTTTATTTGAAAAATGACATTATATTTTAAAGGCGTACATCAAAAAAGTAATGGTACATACTGTATATTCATACGTTATAACATATTAGGTAAGGGAATTTCCTACAAAGAAGACATCAGTGTCAAAACACAACTAGAATTTTGGGGCTGTATTTTGTGCAAATGTAATATTTAATTTGACTGTAAACATTTAGTTTATATGCAGGTATCATATTGAATTCAGTTTCTGAATAAAGTGCTCTGAAAGGCACTTTGAACAGGTACCGGTCATCTGAAAACAGTTGGGTTCAAACAAAAAATATTTTTTAATAACAATAAACTTCCTTTAATGTTGTTAAAATGAATAAAAGCAGGTCTTGAGTTTGCGACAATGGGAAAACGGGTCCCAGGGTTGACAGCAGTTGAGAACCACTGCTCTTAAGCATACCGTCCTCCTATTTTATCCTTGACTATGACTGCTGAGAAACATACTATAGCCATACATTACTGTATTGGCCCTGGAAAAATATTTAACTGACAATCTAATAATTAGTCTGTATATTAGTGTACCGTAATTTTTAAAAAATCCCCGTCTCCAACTAAACACCCTAGAATCTGTAAGGTGATTTATTGGAGATGTATTTTCACGCTTGACCTTGGTTGCACACTGTGTTATACGATACACTGAGACAAAGCTACAAGTTGGCATGTACTATATTTTGTCTGCTATTGATAGTTTTTGCTTGTTTGGAGCTTTGTTACTTTTGGAAGGTTCCTTGCTGCTGCTGGAAATGGAAGGTATAATTAGTCCCAGAATACAGTAAATACTCAAATTTACATGAGCCGCCACTGTCAGAGAACTATCAATGCTGCTGTCTTTGGTTCATACTCTATCTGCTTTTAATTTGAGGGATCATCACTCACCCGTAAAGATGAAGTGGAAAGTGGTTTGCTGTTTGTGTGGTCTTGTGAGAAAAGAGTCACTGCAGTCTCTTCAATAGTATCTATCTATCTATCTATCTATCTATCTATCTATCTATCTATCTATCTATCTATCTATCTATCTATCTATCTATGTATCTATCTATCTATCTATCTATCTATCTATCTATCTATCTATCTATCTATCTATCTATCTATCTATCTATCTATCTATCTATCTATCTATCTATCTATCTGTGCGTGCGTGCTTGTGTGTGTGTATTTTCTTTTAATTACTCTTACTCTCTTTTTCAGACATCAATGAGTGTCTGGTCAACCGCCAGCTTTGTGACAATGGCCTGTGCAGAAACACTCCTGGCTCGTATACATGTTCCTGCCCAAAAGGTTTTGTCTTCAAGCCAGACTCAGAGACATGTGAAGGTGAACACACGCACACACACCAACATGCGCGCACGCCAACAAACACATGCATCCTAGAGTCCATCTGTTTTTGATTGAGGTCATAACAATGTGACCTAGTTTCCACTATAAATATGTCGATCTACATCGCTGACCTCAGGTGTGCGTCATTGTGTTATGTGTTCCAGATATCAACGAATGCGAGTCCAGTCCATGCATCAATGGGGTCTGTCGCAACGTGATCGGGTCCTTCAACTGTGAGTGCACCCATGGGAGCAAGCTGGACTCTACAAACACCATCTGTGTGGGTAAGGCATCCTTACCGCCAAGTGGTTCTACACGTTAACTACGGGTTGGCAAATTTTTGTGCCCTAGGGATGTATTTTATTTTCAAAATGGACTGATGGACAAACAAAGTTAAAATGTTTATGGAAAAAAAAAAGATAGCTTCAATACGTTTATATCAAGTTATAATTGTACTATTTAAAAGTATTATTTAGAATTAATTACTTGCTGATATAAATGAATAAAACAATTGTGAATACATTACAAAGACATTTTAAAGAAAAAAAACTTGATAATGTGAATGCTTGGTCAGGGATTAAAGAACATAGCTGGCAGTATGTGTTCTGTAGGTCATACTTTGCCCACCCCTTCTCTCAACACTTAACTCTCATGGCTTTTCAACCATGTACAATGAAATATTTCAAGTTCTACCCATGTGAGGCTCGCCTTTTATTTGAAAAATGACATTATATTTTAAAGGCGTACATCAAAAAAGTAATGGTACATACTGTATATTCATACGTTATAACATATTAGGTAAGGGAATTTCCTACAAAGAAGACATCAGTGTCAAAACACAACTAGAATTTTGGGGCTGTATTTTGTGCAAATGTAATATTTAATTTGACTGTAAACATTTAGTTTATATGCAGGTATCATATTGAATTCAGTTTCTGAATAAAGTGCTCTGAAAGGCACTTTGAACAGGTACCGGTCATCTGAAAACAGTTGGGTTCAAACAAAAAATATTTTTTAATAACAATAAACTTCCTTTAATGTTGTTAAAATGAATAAAAGCAGGTCTTGAGTTTGCGACAATGGGAAAACGGGTCCCAGGGTTGACAGCAGTTGAGAACCACTGCTCTTAAGCATACCGTCCTCCTATTTTATCCTTGACTATGACTGCTGAGAAACATACTATAGCCATACATTACTGTATTGGCCCTGGAAAAATATTTAACTGACAATCTAATAATTAGTCTGTATATTAGTGTACCGTAATTTTTAAAAAATCCCCGTCTCCAACTAAACACCCTAGAATCTGTAAGGTGATTTATTGGAGATGTATTTTCACGCTTGACCTTGGTTGCACACTGTGTTATACGATACACTGAGACAAAGCTACAAGTTGGCATGTACTATATTTTGTCTGCTATTGATAGTTTTTGCTTGTTTGGAGCTTTGTTACTTTTGGAAGGTTCCTTGCTGCTGCTGGAAATGGAAGGTATAATTAGTCCCAGAATACAGTAAATACTCAAATTTACATGAGCCGCCACTGTCAGAGAACTATCAATGCTGCTGTCTTTGGTTCATACTCTATCTGCTTTTAATTTGAGGGATCATCACTCACCCGTAAAGATGAAGTGGAAAGTGGTTTGCTGTTTGTGTGGTCTTGTGAGAAAAGAGTCACTGCAGTCTCTTCAATAGTATCTATCTATCTATCTATCTATCTATCTATCTATCTATCTATCTATCTATCTATCTATCTATCTATCTATCTATCTATCTATCTATCTATCTGTCTGGATTGCTTGCTAGCTAGCTAGCTAGTTTATTAACGACGGTATCTATCGGACTATGATATCTGTCTGTCTATCTGACTGTCTGTCTACTTCTAAAATCCACATTTGAAATGTAGTTTGTCCTTAGAAATGATGTATTTGCTGCTGAGAGATGCTGTCATAAAACCAAAATGCTAATCACACGAACAAACAAAAAAAGGAATGTATTCACAGATACCATGTGAATAAGCCCCCCAATGTCATGAACAGTATATGACAGGTATCGTGCCTTAAATATATGCTTAAGCATCAGAATTAAAGGATTTCAGACAGGTCCATCAAGTTTCATGGAAATTAGCGCGCATCCCGACTCGCATTTCATATGCTCTGCTTTGCCCCCCGCAGATAGCATGAAGAGTACTTGTTGGCTGACAATACAGGACAACCGCTGTGAGGTGAACATCAACGGGGCCACGCTCAAGTCTGAGTGCTGTTCTACATTGGGAGCAGCCTGGGGAAGCCCTTGTGAACGCTGCACGATTGGTCAGTGAATACCTTCATAGTGCAGACATTCTAAAGATTCAGATTGTGTAGAGCAGTAGAAACTCTAAATTATACTCAGAAGACAAAAGCTGTATGATGATAATGAGGTATCAATATCAAATTTGTGACGGATCATTTCTGTGAGTAGACACGGCCTGTTCACGAGGATTCGCTCGCATGAAGGGCCTTGTCTGTGAAGGTAAAAACGACAAACCACCCAATTAATAGATAATCAGTTGAACCCTGTGACCTAAAATTGACCTTTTTGTTGTTCCCTCCAGATATTAACGAGTGTGAGGTGTTCCCTGGAGTGTGTACAAACGGCCGCTGTGTGAACACACAAGGCTCCTTCCGCTGCGAGTGTGCCGAGGGCCTCACTTTGGACAGTACTGGACGCACGTGCGTGGGTAAGAGGATAACACATTGGATAAGAGCCAAAGCCCTAAAACAAAAATCCTAACGTCATGACCGCATTTTTTATTTTGCAAGATATGCGCAGTGAGCAGTGCTACATGAAGTGGCACGAGGACGAGTGTGGCGAGCCTCTGCCCGGGCGGTACCGAGTGGACATGTGTTGTTGCTCTGTGGGCGCCGCCTGGGGTGTGGACTGTGAAGAGTGTCCCAAAGCCAGCTCGCCTGAGTATAGAGCCATCTGTCCAAGAGGCCCTGGTTTTGCTAACAGGGACATCCTAACTGGCAGGCCTTTCTACAAAGGTAACTTTATAACCACTGTCAGCCATAGTCACAAAAGATGTTTAAAAACATTTCAGGTGCAAGTATGTAGTATCCTCATTTATGTCATTACAGCTATGCATGTTTCCTGTTTTATCATAAACTAAAATGCTGGATCTGTGTCTGCATGTTTTCCACAGATGTTAATGAGTGCAAAGTCTTCAACGGTTTGTGTACTCATGGAACTTGCCGGAACACCATCGGAAGCTTCAAGTGTCGCTGCAACAGCGGCTTTGCTCTGACGGCCGAGGAGAGAAACTGTACAGGTACATGAAGATGAAAAAAATAAAGCTATTATCAGAAGGATACAAGTTGTTCAGCTCCGTTTAATGCCATGTTTGCCTATTAGACATCGACGAGTGTCGCATCTCCCCGGACTTGTGTGGTCACGGTACATGTGTCAATACTCCTGGCAGCTTTGAGTGTGAATGCTTTGATGGCTACGAGAGCGGCTTCATGATGATGAAGAATTGCATGGGTAAGTCACACACATTAGCAATACAGTCTCTGGCCTCCTTTCAATGAAGAAAGTGTTGTCTACATTTTAATTGATCTTGTCCTCCTTCCCTCTTGTCTTCTTGACGGCTGGCAGACATCGACGAGTGCGAGCGCAACCCCCTGTTGTGTCAAGGCGGGACCTGTCTCAACACTGAAGGCAGTTATGAGTGTGAATGCCCCCCAGGACACACGCTCAGCCCCGATGGATCGGCTTGTGAAGGTATGACACACATCATGCAAACTTGGGCAGGAGGCCGGCCACGGATTTGCTGCTTTATGAAAAAAAAAAAAAAAAAAAAAGACCACGTCGGGCACCTTCATGTCAATTCTGCAAATAGAGTTTAATATTGCATATGGTCTCTGTTGACCATGGACCATTAGCTTGGCATCACTTTTCCCCACTTACAGGGTTGTCCTTACACAATAGTTACACCAACCCAATTCGATAAAATCCAATACAAAAGCAAAGACAACATTTAATTTACGACATTGTTATTCAGTGGAGGCTAGACGCTGTCCTGGAGGACTTAAAGGACGATGTCACAAAAGATCCTAAATTTACACTAACTTTTTGCAATGTTCTTTCTTGGCCTCATTGTGAAAATTAGTTGGGAAGTTTTTGCGGTAAGCATATGAAAAAAAAAAGCCAATGAAAACATTGCTGACCTTGACTGAGGTAATAAAGCTCAATTTTGATTCATGCTGTTTGTATTTTCAGTTGTAGATTTCACTGCGGTAATAACGAGACAAAATAAAAAATGTTTTCACCAATTGCATTTTGTTTGGCTCACAACATGCCATTGTGTTGAACTCGTGAACATAAAAATATAATAATGTCATAGTTTGTTTCCAAGTAGCTTTCTAATATTACAGTTATCAGTTCCTAACTTGGCTCCGCCAGAGGGACAAATTATTAGACACACCCATTGGTGCAAATTGCAACCACACGACTGTTAATATGTGTTAAACAATTTGAGCATTATTAATATTCAGTCTACTAGATTAAGAATGTGCATCTTTCAGTTGTTGCTTCTGTATTGGATCTTATTAGATTACCGGTATGTAGTATAAACGGTCCAAAATGTTCGTTGGCAGTCGGCACCGGGACATTCAACAGGGCGTTACCCAATTTATTCCACTTAATACCACCTCAACCACAACACAATTACAGAAACACAAACATAACATGCAACTTTGCCACAGTCATCATCTGTATCAGTTCAGAATCAATATTTATGTAGTAACATGATAAAGATTATCACTGGAAATGCTGACAATTGTAGTAATGTATGCACATCACGACAGATGTTTATTGCTAGTTGAAGTTGGCCTGTAACATTCTCCAGGAAAGCAAACAGAGCACGGAAAAATGCTGACGTCCTTGATGGCCAGCTTGGTAAACTTGTGAGGACATATGTAATATCTAAATGATTTAATAAACAGTTCCTTTGCTAATATAGTGTCAATTACACTGGCCAGCAGTATGGATTCTGAAGACCCTGGGCAGATTAGATTAACGTGGCAGCACATAGAGGCTGAACTCCAATTGGAGCCCAAATCATATAACATCCACTTACAATGGAATGGAAGCAACGATTTCTATTTATTTTCATTTTTTTCCAATTTTTTTTTCTTAACAGATGTGAATGAGTGTCAGCTTAGTGACAACTTGTGTAAGAACGGCCAGTGCGTCAACATGCCGGGAACCTACCAGTGTTCATGTGACACCGGCTACCAGGCCACACCGGACAGACAGGGCTGCGTTGGTGAGTGCATACTAGTCCACAATTTAGGTATCGTTACCTGAGGATGGTATCATCCTATATTCAATCTATTATTTAGATATTGATGAGTGCACCATCATGAATGGAGGCTGTGAGACCCACTGCACCAACTCAGAGGGCAGCTATGAGTGCAGCTGCAGCGAAGGCTACGCTCTCATGCCAGACCTCAGGACATGTTCGGGTAAACAAACGCAACCCCGTCACGCTATTGCCTACCGCTTTTAGCCAGTGAGTGTCGATTTTAAACTGTCTTCCGTTGTGATTAGACATTGATGAGTGTGAGGAGACGCCAGACATCTGCGACGGAGGCCAGTGTACAAACATTCCAGGGGAATACCGCTGCCTGTGCTATGACGGTTTTATGGCTTCCATGGACATGAGGACCTGCATTGGTGAGAAGAAAAAAAACAAACATTTCAAATCTTTCTCAGGCTGAGATTATATTTTAGCCATAATTTTGGAGACAAAATCACACATGTTTTCCTTGTGTCCATTTATACACGCACAGATGTGAACGAGTGTGATTTGAACCCAAACATTTGTCTCCACGGCGAATGTGAGAACACCAAAGGCTCCTTCATCTGTCACTGTCAGCTTGGATACTTTGTCAAGAAGGGATCCACTGGATGCACAGGTGCGCACGCAAAGACACACACACACACACACACACACACACACACACACACACACACACACAC